CAAAAAATAGTAAAACAAAAAAAATTTCATTTCAAATAGCAAATTATGTTAGATTTATGTTTGAAAAATATAGATAAGACTAATATTAATAAAGAATAATAGGGTATAATTGACTATTTATAGGAAAAGATTTTTTACATTTTATTTTTTTTTTTTGCAATTTTATTTGTACATTGAGTTTTATAACCAATAAAAAATTGATCCTCTGAATATAATAAAATATTAAATTTCTATACTGAATTTGAATATAATATTTGATATTTTCATAAAATAAATAAATTTATAAATTCAGTAAAACATTTATCAAATTCTTTTATTATAATGAATTATAATTTTTAAAATTCGAGATTTATTATAGAAAACTTTAACTATATAAGCATTTTATAGAAAAAGAAAAGAAATTACTAAAAAATTTTTTTTTAAGTTAATATTAAATTTGAATTTATTTTATTAAAAAATAAGATTTAACTTATAAAATAAAAAAAATTTTTTGATAGTTTTCTATCTTTTACTATAAAATATCTATATAATAAATTTTGAATATAATCAAATTAAATTTGATTCTTTATATTGATATAATATAAGAAGAAATAAGAAAGAAGAGATAATAATTATATTATTGAATTAGATGAGAGATTTTATTAAAAATGATTTTATATACAGTCAATTCTCTCTAAATACATCCTTTTTAAATGTATACATTATATATTTTCTCTCTAAATACATACTCTTATTTAATCATAAGCATATAGAATTTATATAGAAATTTTCTTTTTAAATGCACACCTTTTTTAAATGCACATTTTTTAAAATTTTCACTATGGTCTTGAGAGAATGTATTTAGAGAAGGTTGATTGTATAATATAAGTATATATACTAGAATCCTTAAATAAGTTAATTTTTTATTTAGATTATAATAGTTAATATAGATATATTTATATTAAATTTATTATTATTTTTTATTAGAATTGAAACTTATTATTTTAGTAATAAAAGTTATAATAAAATTAAAACTTTTATATCATTTTTTAACTTTCTTACAAATAAAAATAACTAATTACTATTTTTAAAAAATTATTTTTAGTCTATAATAAGATATTAATTTTTTTATAAAATTTTAATTAATACTTATCTTTTATATTAAATTTATTTTCATTTTTATTTTTTTTTTAATTTATAAAAAATAAATTTTTTTTATATTACTAGTAGAGTTCTAAATGAGTCAAATCAAGTCAAATCAAGTCAAGTTTAAAGATCAACTCTATTTGACTCTTTTTTTTCAAGTTGAGTTAAGACAAATTTATTTTATAAAATTTTTCAATTTGATTTAATTCGAGTTATATAAATTTTAAACTTGACTTAATTTGACTTGACTCGATTTTAATTCAATTCAATTTTGACTTGAATTTATTCAAATTGAGTTAAGTTCAAATTAAGTTATGAATTAATTTTAAATTTTTATAAACATTTAATTAATAAAAAAATAAAATAAAAAATTAATAAAAAAAAATGAAAAGATCACGGAAAGGGAAGAGTAAACAATTTGAGTCATTGTTCTTCTTGAATAATTTTTTTTATCAATCAAGTCAAACGATTTATCATTGTTCTTTTTAAATAATTTTTTTTTATTATTTAAATCAAACGATTTGTCATCATTCTTCTTGAATAATTTTTTTTATTATTTAAGTCAAATGATTTATTATCATTCTTCTTGAACGATTTTTTTTTATTATTTAAGTCAAATGATTCATCATTATTCTTCTTGAATAATTTGATTTTTTTTATCATTCAAGTCAAACAATTTCTTATTATTCTTCTTGAATAATTTTTTTATTGTTCAAGTCGAATAATTTCTTATTATTCTTCTTGAATGATTATTTTTCTATAGGACTGCGATCCTAGAATTGCAGTTTCAGAATCTGGTCCTAAAATCCAGTTCTAGAACTCAAGTCCTATAAACTGGGAGTTTCAGGACTAGATTAGGACTAGACTGGATTTTAACATTTCTAAAAATAATACTATTTCAAGTTAACTCAAGTCAACTCAAATTAAGTTGAGTTTAAATTGAATTGAGTTAAATATTTAATTCAACTTGAATTTAGCTTGACTCGCAAATCATTGAGTCAAAAAATATAAACTCAATTTGATTTAAACTCAACTCAGCTTATCTGATTTATGAGTTAACTCAATTCGTCTGGAACTCTAATTACTAGAATATATTTACAAAATTATTCTATCATAAATATATTATCTTAAAAGATTATAAGAAGTATTTAAAATTGTAATCTAAATAATTTATTTATAAATAAAATGATCTATAAATTTATATAAATGAAATTACAAAATCTAATTTAAGTTTATTTAATATTATAATTTATCATTTTATAATATACAGTATAATAAAATTAATAAAACTTTCAAAAATATTATATAAATATGTGAGTTCTTTATAGAAGAATTAATCAGAGTTTTATTAATATACTAAAATATAGTAATTAAGGTTACTTATCTAAACTTATTTTAAATTTGAAAAATATCTAAACTATAGTTTTGCAAAATTTTTACTAAGGTTTTAATATAGTTTTACATTTTTATAAGCTTTGATATAGTTTTAACTTTTTCAGAATTTTGCAGATTTTTAATAAGGTTTTAATATAATTTTGCTAAGTTTTACTTTTTTCCATTTAGATGACTTGCAAAATCTTTAGGTTATATCTAGTAACCTTAATAGTAATAAAGATTAAAAAATGTTTACTTAAATAATCTAGTAAATATTTCTATCTTCATCTTTATTATTTTATTTATCATTATTAAAATTTTATATATTTTAAAAATTCTTAGATTATGTAAAATTATTTAATTACAAAATTCTAAAGGAATTTGAATATTATATTAATAGAATTTTATTTTTAAATAAATATAAAATCATTCAAGTTTGAGCAAATTAATCTTTTAAAATTAAATTTATATTAAATTTAATAGTAATTTATTTTTCAATTTTTATTTGATAAAATAATAAAATTTCTGTAATAAAGTATAATAATTTTATTAATATCAAAAATCTAATAATAGCTCTTTATTAATTTTCTTTAAAAATATTAAGATATTTTGCTTTTTTTATTATTTTATTATTTATGTTTTAAATTTTTAATTAAATATTTTTATTTAAAAAAAATTTTCTATTAAAACTTATCTATTATTCAAAAATTTTAAGATTTATAAGTTTTAGATTTAATATTATAAAGGTTAAGGTTTATAATTTTTTTATTTAAAAATATTTTAATAATATTTTTTTTTAAAATTTAAATGAATCAAATTTAAAGTAATAAAGGTTCAAGATATATATTTAGTTAATAACATTTATTTTTATATTATTATTACTAGTTTTAACTAATTTTAATAAATATTTTCTTTTTTTTTAGACTTTATAATAGGAGGATTAATTTATATTGTGAAGTTAATATTTTTTTAAAAAAATTTCTTTTTATTATTATTAATTATAGAAATATTATTTTAATTTCTTTTTCTTTTCTTTTTTAAAAATAGAATTTGCCTATTTGGATGAGTTTTTTAAATATGTTAAATATCAGTTTTAATATTTTATAAAATATTAGATAATTATTAATTTAAAATCAATAATATAAAAATTAAAATATAATATAATTTATAAAAAAAGTTTTATTTTGTTTTTTATATAAAATTTGGTATTTTTTTCTAAATAATAAAAAAACTTATAAATAAATAATAATTTTAAAATTATTATAATAATACCTTTATAATTTATAATATATTATTTAATAAATTTTTTTGAAGTAAACTAGTTTATTTGAAATGATCTAAATTATTTTAAAGGACAGATTATCACTTAATAGAAGAAATTTAATAATTGCAATTTACACTAATCATTTGTAAAAATAGCTAATATACTTTTTTTGACAAATTATTAGCTTATCACATAATACGATATGCAAATTTTAAATATAGTAATTAACAATATCAATCCTAGTTAAACTATTTGCAGAATTTTGAAGTCATTAGAATTTCATATCTTTAACTTTTCTACAAAGAAATGTAAGATTCTGATCATAAATTTTCAGCTGATTTAAATTTTAATAATTTATTTTGAACAATTTCAATTAAAAATGAGTTAGTTTTAGTTCTTATTTAGTTCTTAAACCTTTATATGTTTTAATTTAGCTTTGTTTATTATATTTTATTTATTTTTATATATTAAATATTTGTTCTTAATTATCGTGATTTTATACATTATACTATATTATTATATGTTATTTATTATACTTTTTATAGCTTGTTTTTTGAATATTCATACATAAGTTGAAATTTAATTTTGTATTATTGCTATTTAGGCATATCTTTAGCTTTTAATTCACTAGATTTAATAAATATTAGCAGTTCATTATATATATCTTTTGTTAACATTTTATTCTTTTGATTGAGGTTTTCATTCAAAAAAACTTTTCAACAACTCTTTTACTTTCTTTTTTATTTTTTTCCTTTTTCTTTTCTTTTTAATTTTTGATTGCTTTTTAATGCATATTTTATAGGAAATGGAAAGTTTACGTCAAAAGTACTATTCAATGCAAAAAATGTAAGATTATAATTTTAAATTATGTTTATTTAAACTTTGCATTTATTTATTTTACATCTTCTAATTCATTATTACTATTATCATTATTATCTATTAATTCTAATATACTAATTAAGTCTATACTTATAAAATATATTAGTCAAATGTATTTATAAAAATAATCTATTTTAATTAATTATCTGGTAATGAAGAAGTTGTCTAAGCTGATTCAGGTTTCATTTGTTCAAAAATATTTGAATAAGAATGAACAATTAGTTTAGTACAAAGATTGGCAATTACAGAAAGAGAAAGATTATTCTATAGACCAAAATGTAAAAACAATTAAGTATACATATAACCTGTTATTTTACCAGAAATTAATCATCTTCAGTAAATAAATTTGAAATACCTTTTATAATTTTAACATTTGGTTTTCTTTTGCTAATATTTGAATTTTCATCATCAGGTTTAATTGACTTTGATTTGGTTTTAAATTTTTCAGTGATGTATCAGATAAATGTTTAGCTACTTCTACTATATTATTTTTATTATGAATATTATATCTAACTTAAACATATTGTTTGATCAAATAAGAAATCTAAAAGAAAAAGGTAATTTTAATATAAAATTTATTTCAGTAATTATATATAATAATAGTATTTACTATATTATGATGAGAATTAATTATTATTTTAGCTTCATTTGGTTTAAGAAATTATCAATTGTGAATCTCAATTTGATACCATTTATTTCAATATACTATAAGCTCTGATAAATGTTAATATGCCTATTGTCTGAAATTATTCTAATCCATTTTAGCTTATATTTTATTATTTTAAAAACAGTTTCAAATGAAAGGGTGATAAATTAAGCATTCTGCTTAGTGTTAGTTGACTAATGATTATAAGTTCTTAATCTAACGCTTAATAATTATTTTTTTTTGTAAAAACTAGAATTGTATGAAGAGTCCATATGCATTTACCAAAAAATTTTGCTTTAGTTTCCTAAACTGATTTTAGCAAAATTTTTATTTTATAATCAACAATAAATAATGTATTATTCTTATCAAGATTGGTTAATGTGGCTTTAAATTAAGCATTTAAATATAGTTTTTATATTATATGAGCTAAAAAATACTGCAGATATTTTTTTATTTCTTCTAGAAAAGCAGTTTGATTTTTTGTTACATATACAGAACATGGATAAAAGTTTTCGAATACTTTTTCACCAAATATAAAACTGATAATTTTTTAGCATTAATAGTAAAAGTTCTAATATTATTTTATTTAGAGTTGGTTAAGGCATACAATTCATATTAAACTTTTAATACTTAGTTTGACTTTTCTTTGCTGCAATCACAGCTTGAATTCATTGTAATATGCTATCAACTAAATTTTCAATAGTATGTATTGAAATTTCTTGCCATGCTTTTTTAACATATCAGTCAAAGTTAGCAAGATTTGATGGTAGTTTTTTTATATACACGAATGTTTTTTTTAATCTCAGCCTATAAATTTTCAATTGGGTTAAGATCAGAACTTTGGGCTGATCAAGTTAATGTAAGAAAACCATTTTCTGTCTGAAAATTCATTACAATTTTTGATTTAAGTGGATGAACATTATCTTCTTGGAACTAGCTATCATTATTGGAAAATATTTGTCTCATAGCTAGCATTACATATTTACGAAGAATGGTGATATGTGATTTACCATTTACTGTTTTAGATAATGTAATAATTGGCTCTTTTCCCTTTTGAGAAAAATAGCCTCAATATATACAGCTTGGGCTATGCTTTACTGTGGCTGTTATACAAGATAAAGCCTACTCATCTGCTGATTCTCACCACACCCTGCTATTGTGACTTTGATAGAATTAAGAGAAGATTGATTAATTATTTCATATGATCTTTGACCAATCCTCTTTTGTCCAACTTTGATATTCTAAACACTATGCAAGACGTGCCCTATGTTCGCTGGTAAAATTAAAGGTTTTTTTTGTACAATACAATTTCTTAATTCAGTTGAATAGAGAATTCGTCTAATAGTCTGAGTTGAAACATCTTGTCTAGACTTTTTTTTTTAAAGTTGCTGCATTCCAGCAGTACAAAGACGACAATTTTTAGTTTTATCATTTGTAATGATTCATTTGAGGTGATTACATTAAGGAATTATAATCAAGAATAGTCATCTAGAGTGAGACATTAATTCAGTTGATCCTGTGGTGCTAGCTCTTTTTAATATATTACAAACAGTTGATTTTTCGCAGTTAACAATCTTTGCAATAGTTCAGTAACTGTTATTACGTTAGTGGCAGTAAAATATGGTTCTGCATTATTCTTTGGTTAATTCTTTATTTTGTCTCATTATTTTTCGATTTGGTAGAGATTAAGTGATATAAATTAAAATAACAAAAACAACACAAATTTTTTTATTTTGATTATGTAAATAAACAATTGACGGTCATATGACTGCAATATGGTATCACAATTATATAATGAAAATTTTTTAAATCACATTTATAAAGGTATCTGAAAACTTTTACCTACCCTCTATAGATACATAAATTTAAAAAATTCAAAAAATTTATCACATTCTAAACATTATGAATTATATATTTTAGAACACTTTCTAAAAGCATATAGTAAACAATAGGAAATACAACAATTATTTTTAGTTATACTATTAGTATTAACTACTAACTCTTTTTCATAATCACAGTGTAAATAGCGTTTTAATATATCAATTTTTTGTAAAATACTATTCTAAAGATATTGATAAAAGATAAATTATAATATTTTTAAACTAAAATAATTTATTTATCAAAAATAAAATTACTTATTAATTGATCTTTTTGTAAAAATTTATTGTGTGTAATAGCTGTTAAAGATTCAAATAGAATATAATCATATTCATTACAAGTAAAACAAATTTCACCTATATCATCTCAATATTTAATATTACTGTAATTTACTAATCAGCTCATAAATGATGTCTTTTTCATGCCATTAGGAAAAGTTTTTTCAAATTTTTCTATAATTTATTTTGATCATGCATATATAGTATTAGTGATTTATTCTTATCCACTTGGTAAAAATTTTGTGTGATTATACTTTGATCCTAAAAAATTTTAGAAATTGCTTTTCTTTAATTTCAGACATTTGTTTAATAACTCTTTTTAGTTTTATTAGATTTAACGCTTCTAGTTCATTAAGTATTGTATATTTTCATATATAATTAATCATATTATTTTTATTTATATATAATAAATTTGATTTTTTAATATTTATTTTATAATAAATTCAGTAAATATAATTTTTGATTTTATTCTAAAATTTTCTTTTAATTTTTTATATGTAAAGTTTTCAGCAATTATTAAAAAAATCCTAACTTTTCCATCAACTCCTTTTTTATTTACTTTTAAAGCTTTTTGTAAACTTTTTCAAAATGTTTTACTTTCACTATTAGATTGAGATTTCTTTTCCATTACCAATAACATTCCTGATTCATAAAGTCTTGCTAGATTATTTTTATCAGATGAAGGATTTGGTATTTTTGTTTAGAATTCAATTATATTCTTATTTTTTATAAATAGAGTAATATTAGTATAATTAGAAGCACGAAATATTATTCTCTATATGCCTAATTCTTTTTCTTGAAATTGATAATTATCTGAATAAATTTGAAGTTTATTTGTACCAATTTGTAAATAAGCTTGACCAATTTGAAATGTACTAGTAATAATATTACGTGATTTTATATTTTATTCATATATAAGATATAATATATGGGTTGATTGCTAGGAAGATCAAGTTCTGAAAATTTTTTAACAAAATTGAGATTTTTATTGTATTTTAGTTTTTGATATTATTAGATTAAAATGTATTAAGCTTTTAATTTAAGTGAAAAATTTCTCAGAACCTGATTTTCCTAGAAATTCTCATATTAATATTTTTTCAATCATTACTTGTACAAGTGGTTAAATTTTTATTCTTTTCTAATTTGTTTAATTTTTCTAATTTTTATTGAACGTATAAATTAGTAATTTTAAATAAAGCTACTCTACTGTATTTTTTATGAATACCAATAGTCTTTTAGATTTTACTAGATGTAGTATCCTTATTATAATATAATTTAATACCTTATTATAAATATTTAAACTACATTCATTTTTTATAGATTGTACAAAAAGTGATTGTTTATTTGCATATTTTGTTATAAGTGTAAAAAAATATCCTAAATCAGTACTATAATATTCTTCATAAAATAAAATACCAATTTGACTGATCACAATTAATATTTTATCTAATAAATAAATATTAAAATAAATAAAATATTAACTATTAACTCATAAACAATTGTTTTATTGTCAAATCCTATAACAGCTAATCCTGAATATTTTGTTTTATTACTAAAAATTTAGTTGTATATGTTGTTAATAGCTGCAGAAGCTGATGGTTGAATTTCAGAATCTTTATCATTATAAAGATAATGTAAACATAGATTTGTGTTTTTCATCATTAAGAACTGTTATTATAAAGTTTTACTATTAAAACAACAATTAACAAATATAAATAATCAATAAGGTATTAGATTAATACTATTTGATCAAATTTGTTCAATTTTTACTAATTTTATACATATATTTTATAATATAAGTTATCTGAAATTATTTTTTTACCAAAAAAATTACTGTATACTTTTTTTGGTCATTAAATAAGTTTGTATAATAAAAAACACAAAATTTCAAAAAATTTATTTTTATTAATAATGAAACTTATAAAATTAATTATAGCTTACTGATCATTTTATTCTATTGAGTACTGATCTATTTTTTAAATATATATATAATCTTTTATTTACATAAATTCATAGAAAAAATCTTATATTATGATTTTTAAAAATATTTTTTTTTATTTAAAGATTATCTAAAATTTAAAATTTAAAATATAGAATAATATAATAATTTATAAAAGTTAATATAATTAAGATCTTATAAATTAATGTAAAATTAATATCATTTTAATTAGAGTTCTGAATGAGTCGAATTAACTCACAAGTTAGATAAGCTGAGTCAAGTTCAAATCAAGTCAAGCTTATATTTTTTTGACTTGATGATTTACGAGTTAAGCTAAATTCAAGTCAAGTTAAATATTTAACTTAATTTGATTTAAACTTGACTTAATTCGAGTTGACTTGAGTTAACTTGAATGATAAAAAAATCGTTCTAAGAAGAACGATAAGAAATTGTTCGACTTAAATGATAAAAAATCATTCTAAGAAGAATGATAAGAATTTGTTCAACTTGAACGATAAAAAATCGTTTTAAGAAGAATGATTAGAAATCGTTCAACTTGAACGATAAAAAAATTGTTTAAGAAGAACAATAAGGAATTATTCGACTTGAACGATAAAAAAATTGTTCAAGTCGAATGATAAGGAATCGTTCAATTTGAACGATAAAAAAATTGTTCAAGTCGAACGATAAGGAATCGTTTGACTTGAACAATAAAAAAATCATTTAAGTCGAACGATAAAGAATCGTTCAACTTGAACGATAAAAAAATTGTTCAAGTCAAACAATAAGAAATCATTCGACTTGAATGATAAAAAAATCATTCAAAAAGAACGATAAGAAATCGTTCAACTTGAACGATAAAAAATTCATTCAAGAAGAATGATAAGGAATTGTTTAACTTAAATGATAAAAAAAATTATTCAAGAAGAACGATAACCTGAATCGTTCGACTTGAATGATAAAAAATCATTCAAGAAGAATGATGACCTGAATTGTTCAACTTGAACGATAAAAAAAATTGTTTAAGAAGAACGATGACCTGAATAGTTCTTTTCATTTTTTTTTATTATTTTTTTTTCAAAATCGAATCGAGTTAAAATCGAGTCGAGTCAAATTGAGTCGAGTTTAAAATTTATATAACTCGAATCAAATCAAATTGAAAGATTTTATAAAATAAATTTGACTCAACTCAACTCGAAAAAAATGAGTCAAATAGAGTTGGTCTTTAAATTCGACTTGACTTAACTCATTCAGAACTCTAATTTTAATTTTCATATATAAAAGTTATAATTTTAAACTTAAATTTAAGAATGAAATTAAATATTAAATAATTAATAATTTTATAATAAATAAAATTTATATAATAAAGTTCTATTATTTATAAATAACTAATTTATATTTATATATTTTATAATATATATAAATATATACAAATTTATATAAATTATCAAGTTAGAATTTAGTAGAATTATCAATCTTATTTTATTTTAAAATTTATAAATTTATTAAATTATTATTTTAAATATTATTATTTTTTTATTATTAATTAAAGATTTATAATAATATTATTAATTGATATAAAATTAATTAAATATTTAAAAATAATTCTTATTATATAGGAGAATTTATATAATTTTAAATTATTTATTATTAATAACTTTAAATATTTAATAATTCTTTGATTTATATCATTATTAAATTAAAAGTTTTTATTTTTTAATTATTTTTTTTAATTTAAAATTTTAAATAAGTTAATTTAATAAGTCAATTTAAAAAATCAAGTTTAAATTAATTTGAATTAATAATTGAAACATTTTAATTTAATTTAAATTTAAATTTAATATAAAATTCAATATAAAAATAATAAATTAAAATAATAATAATAATATTATTTTTTTAAAAATAATAAATTATTAATCTAATAAAGTATTTTAAAAAGAATTGTTTTTTAATAATAATAAAATAAATAAAATAATAATTATTCTAATAGAATGATGCAATTAGCAAATATAATGTAGCAAATTAAATTGTTATATTACTTTAATTTATAATTACATAATTAAATTATTAAAAATTGTTTAAGAAGCATAATTAATTATTATTTAAATAAAGGATTGAAGTCTAATTCAATTTATTATCATTTTAAATGAGTATTTAAATCATATTTTGTTAAAAAAAAATTTATATAATGATCTATTATTATTCTAAAGAATAAATTGTAGATAATATTAAAGATAAACATTTATATTGAAAATATATACAATTGAATTATTGAATTATAATATGAATAAATAGATATTTGTATTTATTTTTTATAAATTTTATCTATCCAATTTATTTAAGCAAGTATTAAAGCTTTGGCTAAAATTTTTCCGATGGTTTCGGTCAAAATTAACCAAAAACATTTACAGCGGATTTCACTAAGTATTAAAATTTTCATATTTTTTTTTTTTCGGTAGGTGAAATCCTATTTTGGTTAATTGCAACCATCCACATGTGGTCAGAATTATGGAATATGTACAGAATCATGTCTGAAACACCACAAATGGAAATAATTATTGATAATAAGATTAAGATTATTAATAAAAGTTATCGATTGATATAGTAATATTGTAATATTGTGTTGTTTGAAATACGCGGGTAAAACCGAATTCATTATTGTAATTTCATTATAATTTTGACATATAAGAATGTGTACATTCATTGTTTTATTGATTACTAATTTTGGAACATATGCGAGAGGTTTTTTTCTGCATTTATAGGTAGGTACAGTGCATGTATTATGAGTTTAGAATTTAAATGTTGGCAACTCATTACAATGTTTAGAACAAAGAAAAACTCCGCAAGTTCGATTTAATTCGGAATAAAGCCATAAAATTTTTTTTTTTTTAAAAAATCCTAATTAAGTTCTAAGAATGTCAGTCATGTTGTTTTTGATGAATAAAAAAGCTAATCCGATTTTGTAAAGATTATCCAAAAATAGAATTATCACATTTATTTGATTTTGTTACACCTTCCAAAAAAATACTTCAATACTTTTTTTTTTAATATACCATTGATCATTTTATTAAATATATGCGTGACAGTGTGACATAATCAATGTCATCAGGAATAACGAGGTAACATGACCATCTCAACAAGGAAATCTGTTATATCAAGTGATATAAAAAAACGAGCTATCATAATTTATGACGATGAATTTGTCATCAAAAGATTAAAGTTTGGGTTAGAATTTTTAGGGAGAACGGATGCATAAAATTTAATTTCTTCTATTTCTTTCGGTATTAGCATTATTATTGTTATTGTTATTACCACCTGATAAATAATTTGCTAATGTAGTAGAAATATCGGGCATTTCAGCCAATGGATTTTGCGCTTGATTTTCTTGAAGTTCTTTTAAGGCGTCTTGATCTACAAGAGAGACATGATGAAAAATATCCCTTTTGCTGTTTATGTTAAAAGTAGTAAAGATGGACTACAATTGGCGTAGCTTACCTAAGTTTGCCATCATTTTTGGCATGATGAATAATATTACTACACTGAAGCCCATCATAATTATATATGGATTTGCAAATAAACTTGTAATACTAAATCCTTCCCTAGCCTATTAAATATATTTATGAACAAATTGAATATTTATAATCTTAAATTAGTTTAATGTAAAAACTTACTAGAAAATAGTCTGCAGTGGATCTAGCGGATAATTCTAATGGATACTGTAAAGCAGGACCATTATAACTCCATTCACTGCCCGTTATTGTTACAAAAGGTCTAACACCTCTTGGATCAACATCAATTCTTATCTAATGAGGAATTTGTTCAGTATTCTCTCAATAAGTTGATGTAACATCTCAAAAAAAAAATACCTTCGGATATATGAACTTTCTTGAAGAAACTTCTAACAAATAAGATCCTGGTGGCACGTTATCTCTGGAAAGTAAAATCAAATCATTAGTTTTCTTTTCCTTTCGTTTCTTTGGTCATGACGAGAAAAAAGAATCCGAATCGCAAATAAACTGTTTATGTATGTAGTACATTACAAATTTTCCATTTTTGCGAATTAAAGTGGAATATTTTCCACCATCCAATACAATCTTTGTCGTTGGTTCAAGTTGTGATAAATCTATTTTCGATAAGTTTAAAAAAGTTATTAAACAATTTTTTTGTATAAAAAAAAAAAGAACGCGCAAATAATAGTTGCCCTTTAATGCAAAACTAGGAACCAATCTTCCTTCGATCTTGTAAGTTTCTATACAGATCGATGGTATAGCAAATAAACTATTATAAATAACAAATTCAATTTGAATTAATATTGATAGAAAAGAGAAAAAGGAAATACGTTTCAAAAGGTAAAATACCTTAAAAATACTAGTATCAAACATAATGAAATTGAAGAACGCATAATCGCAAATTTCAGATCTAAAAAAAGTTTACCTAACTTTAAAAAAATTTGGTTATAATAAAACTGTTTATTTAATCGGAAAATTTTGATTATTTTTATTCATTATAATACCGAAATATTCCTTGAAAAACTTGTATAATTCCGGTTTGTTGGTCAAGTAAATCCAAATCACACCATAATATTAAAAATGATTTTTTAGATATCACATGCTAAAAATAAATTGCGGAGTGAATGGGGCTATGTGAACTTATTTCTGTAGTACAAGATTACAGGTTTTTTTTTAGGGATCACCAACAAACAGAAAATTTCCGTTACTCCTAAAAGATACATTTTTTCTTTTTTGATCCAAATTATTTCAATTAACCCTTTTTTTTTTTCGAAAATTTGGTTTTTACTTAACTTTATATCTCTTGATTATTCTATTTAATTCAGGCTCTCGTTCTTCTCGCCTTCCCTTTTTTTTCCTTTTTTTTTTTTTTAAAAAAAAAAGTGGAAAGTATACTACCGCATCACAAATTGCAGTCGTTCGTTTTTCATAGCGATTTCGTTCAATATTGATCGTTTTCCTAGTTACAATCACAATGTCACTAGGAAGTCTTGCATTAATATACGTATTTGGAGGACTTACGTTCTTCCCATTTTTAGGAGCAATAATACTTATAATAATCTTTCCACCTTGGACTTGGAAATTACAAAAGAACGAGACGATAAAATTTGATGACATATCACCAAAAGATCTTCACAAGCTTACTTCCATCAACGCCAATAGTGACTCTCACAATGATTCGCCTTATCACAAATTTGGATGGTTAAGGGTATCAAGAGAATATGATCTAATTAATTCTAATAACGGGATAAACACGCTTGGTAATATGGTGAAAGGAATAGCATCATTAATAGATCCAAGTAATAGTAATAAAAATCAAATTAAACGAACAAAAGACGCATTCTTTGCGGTACTAAAATACAATACATTATTCGTGTATGATAGTGAAAGACAATTAGATTGTAAAGGAATTATAATAGTGTCAAATCATGATGTAACAATATTTCCAGAACAATTACCAGATAATGAAATATATACTAAAGTTAATTCTATAAGGTTAACAAAAAAACCATCTGTTTGTGCGGATATGGCCTTAAATTTAGAGAAAAGTAATACCGATTATTATTTATTTTGTGATGTTGGAGTTGAAAAAGAAGATTGGTACTTTGCGTTACAGAGATCTTCAAAGTTAGAATCAAACGCATCCGTTCTAATTAATAATATTTCACAACAAAATGTTAATAATAATTCTAATGGTAAACAAATTAATAGAGATAAATCATTATTTGATCCTTTCGCGATGAATCATTTATTGAAGACACTTTATTCAAACGAAGATCATAAGCAATCTCAATGGTTAAATGCGATATTTGGTAGGATATTCTTATCGGTATATAAAACGCAAGCGATCAAAGATTACTTTATACGTAAATTGATAAGAAAAATAAAAAAAGTGAAAAAACCTGGATTTTTATCTGACATACAAATAAGGTCGGTGGATGTAGGAGATGGTATTCCATATATAACGAACCCGAGATTAGTTGATTTATCTCAAAATGGTGAATTAAATGTAGATATAAATTTAAATTATACTGGAGGCTTTCGCGTTGAAATTGAAACCGAAGCGATTATAGAAACGAGATTAAAAACCATTAAAGTACCTTTAGTTTTGGCCGTGGTGCTTCGAGGTCTACAAGGGAAGATGTTATTGCGTATAAAATCCCCCCCTACTAATAGACTTTGGATGGGATTTTATGAGATGCCAAAATTAGATCTCTTAATTGAACCTATCGTATCTGAAACTCAATTAAAATTTTCTCTCATTATTAATACTATCGAATCAAAAATTCATGAAATGATTATGGACTCTTTGGTTTTACCTAATATGGATGATAGTCCTTTCTTCAATAGTTTTGGTATGGGTGGAATTTATGAGGGTGATGTTGAACAGCTTCAACAACAAGCGGGCATGCCGCAACAGCAGCAACAGCAACAGCAGCAACAACAACAACAACAAAAAACGGATTCACCATCACAGCCTATAGATATTGAAAAGGCGTTACCTAAAGCCGAAGAAGATGAGGTAGAAAGTGTCACAGCAGATATTTTGCCATCATCGAAAAAGGAAGATTCACCTTCAAGCATTCACTCTGCTCCTGGAAAATTAGAATCAACAAAATCAGATTCTATCAAAGGAGAACTTAATAAAGTGGAAGCCACTGCTAATATGGTAAAGCCTTCCATTACCACTACCATTACCACTACCGCTACCACTACTGTTACGGTTGCAAAGGCTGAACCCATCACAGAAAACAATAATACTTGGACATCAAGAGCAACAAGAATAAATAAAAGGCTGTCTGCACTACATGAATCTCTATCTGACCCTAATTTATTAAAAAATACTTCGAGGTTTCGTTCTATAGCTTCAGCTTCAAAAAATTTTATTAAGCAACGTACTGAAGATGATTCTTCTACATCTACCAACACAAAAGAGATCGTAAAGGAATCTAATGATGAGAATCTAAATAATAAAGACCCTGTAGAGTCTACATCGTCTTCAACGACAAACAATTCTAGTACTGTACAATCTTCTACGTCAGCTTTTCGAAGGTGGTCTCAATCTGTTGGTATTCGTCGTAGGACTAGTATCCTGACAAGTAACACTACTGGCAACAGCAGCAACAATAATAATGCCACATCCGACAACACCACCTCAAATAACGCCTCAAATAATAATGAAAATGATGCACAAAGTTCAAATAATTCTACTGAACCTATTCCCATCACAATGTCGGCTGATTCATCAACTTCAAGAACTTTAATTGAAAATTCTGCTCCATTAAGTTCTTCTCCATTGAGCACTTCGCCAAATGATGTGTCACTTCTAATAAGTACAACTACATCAAGTATTGAATCTTTAAAACCTCCTACACCTAAGTCGTCATCATCATCTTCTTCTTCTTCGTCATCTTCTTCACCTACAACGAGATCTATTGCTCACAATGAAAATTTAAAAACAGCGACGCCAACTCCTCCTCCTTCACCAAAATCACCAAAAACACCGACCGATATACATTCTTTACATTCACTTAATTTATCATCATATTCTCCAATTAATAATATCACTTCATACAACCGAGAATTATTTTCAGAAAATGAATTATTACAAGATAATGAATTTTTCTCTGATGTATCTTCATCTATACTTAACACACCTGTAGAAGAATTAAATCGTGTATTAGGTTAGTTCGGCCTTATTTTGCTTAAATAAATTATTATTGTTTTTTTTTTTTCTTTTCACCCAAATAACCAATGAACATTTGAGAAGAAAATTAATTATATAGGAAAGATTATTAAAAATTGCTGTTTATTAAGTAGATATAAGTAGATAGAGATTTTTTTTTCTCCCCTTGTAATCTTTAAAAGGTACCGTAAATTAGTTAAAAGTGTAAATTATTGTTTTCCCATTTTTGAATATTAAGTATACCAGTGTTTTTATTAAATATTATTTTTTTTTTGAAATTAATCTAAAAGAAGCCTTACTGTATATGTATAATACTATAATTCTAGCTAAAAATAAGGATCTTCTTAATTTGAATCACCTTGGTATTTAATTACATCTTCATGAAAAATTATCAACAATTGACCTATAGTAGTATCATCACTCATTGATACCGAAATAAATTATTATTCTTTAATATTGGTGATCACTTTTTTGTGCATCAAGGATTTTTAAAATATCTACTGTATTCTCTTTGAGTATTTTCTTCGTGACATTATTATGCTTCACCATTGGACGCGATATTATGAAACATTATCTTTCGCAAGATTTTAAAGATATTAAATATTGACACGTAAATGATCTTCCGAGAATTGTAAATTCACGTGATTAAATAAGTTATTAGAAAATTTATTTTTAGATTATCTTTATATTTACGGTAATGACTTTTTTAATTAAAAAAGAATTCAATTATTAATTGAAGGATATAAATTTTCTTTATATTTAAATAAAATTATTTAAGTATTTATATAAATTGTGATCTAAAAAATTAAGTTTTAAATATCTTTTAATTCTTATATTTATCATTCAAAATAATAATTGCTTTTATTTATCTTATATTCTGTAAAATTATTTATAAATAGTAAATTATAACCTATAATATATATATTATAAAATGTATTTAACAAATTAAATCATAAGATATACTAAATTATATGTAATCTATAATTAATAATAAACCTTTTATAATTAGTATTTATATTATTTTATTAATAAAATAAACTTATTAAATAAATAATAAAGTTATTTGTTATAAAGATTTTAGCAAAAATAGTTACATTAAATGAATTTTTTTTTTTTTTAGATTGAGTAATTTTATTAGCAGTATTTCTATAATATTTTTTATAATAAACTAACCAGTAAATTTTCATCCAGTATCTACAGTTAAGTGATACAAGCATAATACAAACAGTAATACAGAAAATTAAAGAAATATAGTAGAATAAATAAAAATGATTTATTTGATGTAACTGATAATACAAAATTAATTAATATTATTGTTTAAAAGAGAGTTAAAATACATATTTTTATTTGATATTATTAAGTTAATTAATGGGTAAACTAATAGAAAAGTGAATAATTAGTTAGTAAATGTTCAGTGATTTAAGAATAAAAATAAATGTTTAAAAATTTACTAAATAAAGTTATTGTGTAATATAATGTAAGAATGATCATACAACTACAAGAATTAGTATTTACAATATAATTGAATCTTTGATATTTTGACTTCTTTAGTCAAATTTGAGTCTTATTTTTACATTAAATAATTTATGCCTAAAAGATAATTGTTAACATTAAAATTTCAATTAATAATTAATAAGTTCAATTAAATGTTAATCTAAAAGTAATAAGCTACTAAAGCTAACTTATCAAATAATTTACTTTTTATTTTTTGTTTAATATTTAAATAAAATTATAAGCTATTACAAAAATAAGAAAAACAACTCGCATCTGTAAGAAGGGTAAGTGAGATGTCATTATTTTGAGTTTAATACCTATTTATAATTGTAGCATATAAATTACTTAATTAATTAAGAATAAGTTTAAGAGTATTCTATATTAAATTTGTAATCAAAATTATGTAGATTGATTTGACCAAAAAAAAAATATTTTAGGCAAGTGTTTATTGATCTTAAAATGGAAAATTTATAAAAATTATTAATATTTTTTATTTAAAAAATTATATCATGAGACTCATATTACTATATACAAATATTTTTAATAAATATAATAAAAAAATTTTTAATTAAATTATTAATAAAGATTATATAATATTTTTATTAAAAATAATTTTTCATTTTATAATTTTAAATATTTATTATTAATATTATTTATTATTATTTTATAAAAACTTAAATTGTAATAAATTTATTTTAAAATTTTATTATTATAATAATATTAATTTATTAATATTAATATATAGGTATTTTTGCAGTAGAAAGGAAGGAAACTACTAAAAAAATTTTTTTTACTTTATAAGCTAAATATTATTTTTTTAGTAAATAAATTCAGATTTAATATTAACTCAAAAAATTTTTTTTTGATAAATTTCTCTCTTTCTATTGCAAAGCTTCATATTTTAATTATAATAATATTAAAATAATATAATCTCTTAAATGATAAGTATATTAATATTTTATAAAAATTATAATATTTTAATATCTAGTAATTATAAAAGAGATGTATATAATAGTAAATATTTAATATTAATAATTATCAATATAAGATTTTCATAATAGGAAAAGATAAACTATTAGAAAAAATCAATTTTATTTTATATTTCAAATATAATTTTTAAATTAAAATATGATTAAATTTAATATTAATTTTATTTTTTATTTTTTTTTTAAACTTTTATTTTTTTTATTTATAAATATCTTATATATATAATTATTTAATTTTTAATTTTAAAAATAACTTAATATCTAATATTATAAAAAAAATATATATATATTAAATTCATTTTATTTAGATTTATTAATACTGGTTAAATGAAGAAAATCAGTATATTAAAAATCAAATAAATTTTAAACTATATTAGAAAATTAAAATTTGCCAATAGGTATTAAATATATTAAGTAAAATTCAAGGATGCTATCCAAAATCCCGACACTCAAAATCCTGAAATCCAAAATCCTGACAGATTCAAAATTCTGATAGTTCAAAATTCTAACAGATTAAAATTCTGAAAAAAATATTTTCATTGTATATATTAAATTTATATTAATTAAATGTACTATTATACAAGTCGATTGCGAAGTCTACCGACTGAAAAGTAAACTTCAACGCATATAGCAACATTTTAGGTATCTGAAGAATAACAATTTATGTTAATAATCCTAAAGTCTTGTTGGCGTCAATAGAATTATCAAAGTAAATTACTACAATTAATGTAATTATTTATATGGGAGAGCAATAATGATGGATTGGGTTTTATGATACGAGTTTAACTAATTAAAGTTATAA